CCCCTGTTGCCTCCGGGGAGAGAAAAGCTTCTCCCGGTCCCCCTGGTCTTCTGGGGGGGTCCAGCAAAGCCGCTGGACCCCCCCCCCAGCAGACCAGGGAGACCGGAGCAGCTTTTCTCGCCCCGGAGGACACAGGTGGCAGACCCGCCACCCGTCAGCTCCAGGGCGAGAAAAGCCCGGTTCGTATGTGCGGATCCGACATAAGTCGGATCCGCGTAAGTTGGGGACTGCCTGTACTTACATGGCTCTCACCCTTATACTAACTGAATTCCTCCTGAGTATTTATGGATTTATCCTCAGAACAACCCAGTGAGGAAAGTTTTACCCCTCTTCTACAAATGGAGAACTGAAGCACAAAAAGATTGACCTTACCCACAAACCATAATTCCTTTCCACCACTCTCCAGCTCATCAGCAATCCCCAGAGACACAAAACATACAAGGACGACAAAAAAAAAATGCTAAACATTTTGTTATACAAAAGTCTTAAAGAAAGCAATAAAGAAGCCAATAGGAGTTCATAAAAACAAAATAGAGTTCTGTAATAATTACTATAATCCTACACTGAATTTAATCAAGAAGAATATCTGCTCAAAAGAATTGTTAATACTGAATTATATCTTTGTGTGACAGAGCATATTAACCCCACACTGGCACACTAGGGGTTAACCCATCTGTTAGCAGAAGAGACTGTGCCCCTTCTGCTCTGCTGGGCATGCTCCAGTTGGGACCAGAGTATAAAAGCCTGAGAGATGTTAAGTATGGGCTAGCTGCTAGAGAAGAAGCAGATGCACTGTGCGTGGACCACAATTGCTTCAGGATGTGGGGAGCAGCTGAACTGGACCAGATCTGCACACCCTGATGAGGGACTCTGCAGTGAATACAGGTCCTACTGAACTGTGAATGATGCAGATTCCATTGCATCAGGTAGGAACGGACCTAGGGGACTATACAGGAAAATGGCATCAGAACTGGCTAAAAGACTTGATGTGTTGTGGGTGGATCCTGGCCAAGCTGGTGGCAAGTGCTGTCAGCCACCAATAGGTGGAACTTGGTCCAGAGGGAAGGCCGGGGTTGTGATGGACCCCTTCTCCCCCCAAGGCTGTACGAAATTGTCTAACATACACAAATATGCATAACTTGAAGATGCTTTGGACAAAATACCTCATGTAGCCTATCAATTTTAATGTCAGTCTGCTGGATCTGTATATCTTATTATGGTGTCTGTATTGCTCTTGTTTGTAAAGTTAGAGATATGCGGTAGGGAATGGTTTATGGGTTTAAATGTGCAAATGAAAACTCTCAAAGGTGTTTCCAGTGCTCAGACACCTCAGTGTCTGGGTAATCACCTGTAAACAGCCTCTTTTGTCCTTTAAGTCTAAGCAGTTTGGTCTTAGGAAGACATGTGACCACCCAACTGGTAGGGTCTGACCAGGTAATTTTCCATGGAAGGGGAGAATATAGAAACAAAGAATTCCCACCCAAGTGTAAATAATTGTTACCTGAGGGAGCAATCAGTGTGCACCATCCTCCTTTCATTGTTAAAAAGGATTACCTGCATGGACTTTCAATAGGTGAAACCCTCCCATAGTGAAAGACTGTTTTATTTGGGGTTTTGATCCCATTGAGGGGTTGGTTTCCTGGATGCTGTGTCTGCACTCTCTCGGAGCTGGTGTGATTCAGTGTCTGCTTTTCTCTCCACAGGCAGCTCTGTGCCTTGGCTGAGGGAGATCAGGAGATCTGGCCCAGCAGGACAGGGTAGTAAGAAACCCCAGAAAGCAAGGAGGCTAGTGTCAGTGGCTTTATCATCCCGCTAGGAAACAGCAACAAGGAGTCTTCTGTAACTGCGCCCCGTCACACACCACTGTATTAGAGATGTTAAATGGAGTTTCATCAGCTAATCAAGTAGTTGATGGAATTTCTGTCGACTAGCCAATTAACTGATAAAGATGGAAAGCTGCAGAGCCATAGCAGACTTAGCTCCTGGCCCCGGCCCCCCTGCTGTGCTTGTGCTTTTTAAACGTATTAAGAGCCACTATGCTCTTAATACATTTAAAAGGCTGGTTTACAGCAGGGGGGACCGGGTGCAAGCTGGGAATCAGCTGTCCTGGCTTGCACCTCGTCCCTCTGCTACACTTCAGTCTTTTAAATGTATTAAGAGCATAGTGGCTCTTAATACGTTTAAAAAGCACAAGCACAGCAGGGGCGACTAGGCACAAGTTGGGAATCAGCTGATTTCTGGCTCACGTCCGATCCCCCGCTACACCTCTGCCTCCCCTCCCTTCCCCACAGAAATAATGCTGGGGGCAACCGGGTTTTAAACCAGCTACTGCTCCCCCCACTTGCTGCCTCTCTCTGATAGAGACTAGTCACTTACATCCAAACAATGGATCAGGTAGAAAGGGACCTAGGGGATTATAGGGAGACAGGTGCCAGAACTGGCTAAAAGGCTTGGTGTATTGTAGATGGATCCTGGCCAAGCTGGTGTCAAAGGAGTCAGAGACCAATAGGGCCCGGGTTGCAAACTGGTGGAAGAGAAGGCTCCGATTCCCCTACTCTGCACACCACCCACTGGGGTGTCCCAGCCTACTGTGGCTATTGGTTTGTACTATCCTGTACTATCCTCAACTGCTAGGTATTGGTCTATTGACTCTGGCCATTGGGCTGTACTATCCTGAACGAGAGGGGTTCTTATAGGAATGTGGGAGCTGATGCAGACACTGATCTGCACAGTCCTGAGACATGGGACACCCTTTACACTGGTTCATGGGGTCGTGATGTTTTTCCCCCATCCCAACATGTGACAGAATATATCAGCCCCATGATACCCTGACATAGAGTTCCATAGCTGGGTTGAAACATTCCACCAAAAGATTATTCTGCATTAAATCATATTAGAGGGTTTTTTCATAGAATTAGGAGGGGAGGGAATCCCTCCTCCCCCCACGAAACTGTGGCATCAAACATTCACATGGGAGATAATAAATGCACTGAGGGTATGTCTACACTGCCACCCTAGTTCGAACTAAGGTAGCTAATGTAGGCATCCGAACTTGCAAATGAAGCCCGGGATTTAAATATCCCAGGCTTCATTTGCATGTTCCTGGGCGCTGCCCTTTTTAAATACCCCGTAGTTCAAACTATCTGCCCGCAGCTATATGCGGCACGGACTAGGTAGTTCGAATTAAGCTTCTAATTCGAACTACCATTATTCCTCCTGCAAGAAGGTTTAATGGTAGTTCGAATTAGGAGTTTTAATTCGAACTACCTAGTCTATGCTGCATGTAGCCGCGGGCAGGTAGTTTGAGCTATGGGGCATTTAAAAATGGCGGCACCCGGGAACATGCAAATGAAGCCCGGGATATTTAAATCCCAGGCTTCATTTGCAAGTTCGAAAGGCTACATTATCCACCCTAGTTCAAACTAGGGTGGCAGTGTAGCCATACCCTTAGAAAGGAACTGCAAAGTGGCACTAAAAAGGTCACTGATATAGGTCCTATATTTGTAAATGTTCAGCTGTTAAAAACACTCAAAATAAGTTTATAACAATAATTTGACGATAAACATGCTGTATAATGTGAATGAAGTATTATACATCTCATAATCAAGGTTTTGTAATGAACAACTGTGACCTATGCAGTACAGGAATTTAATTACAAGCTTAAGTTATAGCTTTGGTTTCTCATATTAAAATAGAACGTAGTGGAAGTTTCAGATGTGCAAAGAATGTTGGATCAGGCCCAAAATATCACTTGACTTAATATCATACCATGTGAGAGACACACGAGTTCTAAATGAAGGCCAAACAGGTGTCTTGAAATGCCAAATAACTTTAGGAAAACGTGTATTGTATCAAATATACAAACATTAAGATACTCAAATGTCTCTGTCATCTCAAATTACACAATATTTGCTATTGGAGTGAGGCAGAATCATTAAAAAGGGTTTTGCTATATTAACGGAATAAAATTGGTGAATCATTCAGGCATGCCCATGAAATTCCCAGTGAAGCTATGTTGTCACACTAAAAGCCCTTCTCTCATACAAATTGTTTGTAAAGCCCAAAGGAGTTGAACAATTGCAATTCTTTATAATAAGGCACTCTGTGGAAATGGTATAACACCCATGCTGATGGTTCTTAGTGACCTCCTTACCTGAGCTCAGTTTGCAATTAAAAAACTTTTAGTACCTTCTGTCAATATTCTGCTTTAGTACATTCTGTAAATTCTGGTTTCATGTACTATTTTGCAAGTGACCCACTATTTTCAAATGACATTGGAAATCACTCATTTGTTTTGCTAGTGGTGTGTGAAAAGGACTAGGGTCCCATTCATGGTCCTTTACTTAGGTTGGGCTCTGTAGTACTAATTGGAAGAAAAAGTAGCAAAACTTTAGTTTTGTTTCTAACCTTAGATAGTATGATTTTGAATACACACAGAGGGCATGATTCCAAGTTTCCTTACACCAATGATTTACTTTTGATTTACCTTGGTGTAAGTGTAAAAGGAATCATGCCACAGCTGTTGGGTGAGAAGGTACCATATTATCTTATAACTTTTCAGAGTGATACTGCATGACAATAAAATAGAGATAAGGTTGAGCATATACATCCGTAATTGAAGAGCAAAAATCATTATAAGGCTGTTGGAATTATTCCAAAACCAAGCCCCACAAACCTTGGAAATTCAGAGTTAAGATGAAGAAATAGAAACATGCTAAAAAGGAGCATTCTTCTGGCCCCTTAGGCTGTGTCTACACAGCAACGTTATTTCAAAATAACTGATATTATTCTGAAATAGCATAGTCCGCGTCCACACAGCAAGCAGTTATTTCGACATAATGTCAACATAATGTCGAGCTGAAGGACTTCTTACTCTGACTCCTGTAACCCTGATTTTACAAGGAGTAAGGGAAGTCAGAGGAAGAGTGCTCTCTCTCATAATTCTTGCTGTGTAGTCAGCACCAACAGCCAAATTAAATTATTTCAATTTAACCTACGCAATTGACGTAGCTCAAGTTGAGTGGCTTATTTTGGCTTTAGCCCTGCTGTGTAGATGTGCCCTTAGAGACTAACAAAAATATATAGTATCACAAGCTTTCCCTAAGGCCCCAACCTACCTTAACTGAGTATCCTTTAATGTGACCCACATTCTGGCTAGAAAGTTTGGATTGGGAAGTTGCTAATTAGATTAAGCATTTGCAAAGGAATAAATAGTTTTAAGAACAAAGTCTCTAACATTTAGTCTAGCCCATGGTTTCTTCTCTAAATCACAGTCTCTCCTGTCTGATCTCTTCAGTCTGCTGTCTCCAGTTTCAGCTTGTTCAGAAATCAAGATTTCTTTTCTTGTTCAGGAAACATGTCTTGATCTTCCCCTCTCTAACTTCTCAACTTCTGTTTTTAAAGGTCTGTACCTCTGTTGATTTGTTCCCTTTTCTAGGCTTTTCTATCCTTCTAGAGATCTGGAGAAGGCTAGTTTCATCTAGGTTGTCACTACCCCATTTTTCTGTCAGGACCATGATCTAGGAGAGGGGATTTGGTGCTCCGAGAGGACAGTGATCCAAATCCAAAAGAATGCTTGAGAGTGGTGAGTTAATGGAGGCAGGGACTGGCATACAGGGATCTATTGATGGCCTAGATCTTTTCACCTCTTGATAGCTCTTAATGACTGTCTCATTGTGGGTATGTCTACACTACAAAGTTAATTCGAACTAACAGACGTTAGTTCGAATTAACTTTGATAGGCGCTACA